TTTTATTAGTGCAGTTTTCATCATCATCAACAGCCTATAACAGTCCACTGCTGGACATAGTGCAGTTTTAATCTGTATTTTTTTTGTATTTCTTAATAAATGCAAACTTCTTAAGATTGTTGTTAGAGAATATCAGATTAGTTAATTTAATCAAATAATTAAACATGTAAACTTTTCGTGGTGTATGCTTGCTTGCTACAATGTAAAATCGACAGTAAACCAAGAACATAAAGTCTAAAACGGTGACTAACGCCATAAATACAATAACACACATAATTTAGAACAGTGGTCTAGTTTAGATTCGACTGTAAATAAGAGTTATTTTAGGGTTTATTGTAGTCGATTGACAATGTGCCAACCAGATGTGACCTATTTCATCTTGTAATTTTTTTAAATATAAATTGTAAGCGAAAAGCCGATAAATCAATTAAAAGTGGCAACGACTACTTAGTAAAGTTAATGCCGAATATGTATATCACTACCTACCTTTCATTAATAATTACCTTTGATAAAGTTCATCTATTAATTAAACCGGACGACCGGATGGCGCGGTGTTTTGTGTAACGGACTGCTATTCCAAAGGTCGCGGGTTCGATTCCCGCTCAAGTCAAACGTTTGTGTGCATGAACATTTAATGTTTGATTTGGTCTGGGTGTTTCTATGCATAATATGTATGTATTTACGAAAAAAAGTATATATGTATTTATATCAGTTGTCTAGTAGCCATAGTACAAGCTCTGCTTAGTTTGGGACTAGATGGCGTTGTGTGAATGTGGTAGATTATTATTATTATTATTAATTAAACCAACCAACTTTAATGCACCTGCACCGTGAGGGATGGTAATGAACTGAATTCTTTATTACTTAAGAATGACCGTATGTGTTTAGTGCGTCACGGGCTAAGAATACGGAGTGTCAGCACCCCTATTCATCCCGTGGGTGTAGTAAGAGCCTACTAAAAGAGCAAACTGCGCAGGACAACAGCAAAGCTAAGGAAAACTTGACACAAACCCTATACCAACACGTCTGGACAGCGTGGTATAGTGGACTAAAACCTTCTTTCTGAAAAAGAAGAAGAAGAAAAACCAAGGATAATTTCATTTCATTTCATAAGTCTTGCAACATGGTTTAGAAAACCAATAGTTTTTCTTCACCGTTCGCTACAGTTTTATAAATGTAGATGCTTATGTAGTAATGTAAAAAGAAAATCAAATAGAATGAAAAAATCACGTGGAAAACAAAAATATAAAGTTTCTTACCTTTTTCTTATTGAAGAATATGCGACTTTAGTTACATCTTACAACGAGTTGACCTTTAATAACTTGATTTTGTTTGTGACTGTAGATTTCATAAAAACTTTTATTATCAGACTAATTATAGTTATCCTGGACTAAAGAAGCTGTATAGTTTTACTATTACCGAATCTATAAGATGACTAAACCGTAACTTAAATTTTATGAGCTTGCAATTTTTGCTCTAACGAAGCATGACTAGTCCATGACTAAGTGTTTTCAGAGGGTATGTGTAACAATAAGGAGAGTTTTATAGAATTATACATGACGTGAAAAATTCAATTATATGAATATTTTTTTAATAGACTTAATCTACGCATACTTACTTACAGGAGAAACTGCACCACGAAGTAAAATATTTAATAAAACGCTAATTAAGCTTAAAGATATTCAAGCTAATCAAGAAAATTAAACCAAAGTTTGTTATGCGTAGATTTAAAAGACAGCAAAGACGTTAATTGGATTGTTTAAACAAGGAATCTCTGAAGGCCTGGCAAATGAGACAGCGTCATGTGGAAGAGTCTCTATATACGGCTTCACAAGAGGTGCTTTCTTATTGTGTACATTTTATTCGACCCTTCATTTTCCCAACTCAAACGTACTATTTATTTTCCACAATGTTTATGCGACACTCCAAAATGAAAGTGAAAAAATTAAAAAGAAGTGTAATGTTTAAAATAATCATAAATGTAGATATATATGTATTTATTATCAGATTTTTTTTATCATAACAACTTCTAAATAAATTTAGAGGTATCGTTATTTCTATAATCGATACGTTTACGTAAAAAAAGAAAATAAATATCATAATTTTTTAGCATAGTAGTCGTATTTTTTTATGTAGTATGGTATAGTTACTATGTAGTGTAGTTAGTATAGTAGTATTTAGATCCATATCTATTAACAGCGGAACAGTTCATATTTACAAATAAAGCATAATCCTAGTTTAATCCAATCTCACCGCCTACTTAAGTTCTAAAATTGAGCCTTTCAAATACTTTTAGTCTTTCGTCACAATTACTCTATGATCTAAAACTCCCTTCGTACATATCTCGTTAGTATAATTGCATTTAAAGTTCTTATCTGACATGAATTCGAAATATTCTTGAAGAAAATTTTTAAGTTGAATTGTATAAAATGTTTGGCACAGACGACAAATTGTTAGAAGAACCATCCTTTTGGGACGAAAACTTCATAAAGCGGTTAGAAGCGTACCCGAGTTTATCTTGCGACAATCCGCGGGGGTTGACCCGGGTAAATTGTATTACGCGGGATGTTAGATGTTCAAATTGCTTTTACCCAAAAAAAAGAAAATAAGATCATTGATGTATCTAATATCGGAAGCAAAGATACCTTAAAAAATTTATTTGATATAAAACGATATCTTCAAATACGACGAAAGCTTTTGATAACTCTAATACACGTATCTCGACATGTTTTTTTTCTACATTTTATTTTTAAACTCTTGCAATTAAGTTAAATAATGCGAATGCTCTGAACTATTGTGAAACAATTTTTTTTTAATATAAACACATGTGGAATTGTCTAAGATCCCTCCAAGAATACTGCCGTGCCATGAAGCTTTATAAAATAAATATTTAATTTGGTTACAGGTATCATTGAGTGTAAACTGACAAGTCAACTTATATTAATAGAATTTGCACAATGGTGAAAAATATATCTAAGCTTGCTTGTATTTATGGTTTTAAAGTTTTGGATAGATAGTTATATTTAAACTAAACGACCCCTACGTGTTCTCCTACTCTTCTTAGGAATAAGTTTTCCAAAGTAGATAGATTATATTATTAAAAAATGCATAACATTACCAGAACAGTCATTAATAACATTAAAGCTAATCCATAGACAAATGTTTATCAAATATTACAGTCGAAACCTTTACCTATAAATCACCATTTTTATACATTTCTTCTCATATTTATAGCCAGTATTTAGTTAATAAACCCTAAAGTGAATGTACTCAGTAAGGTCTAACGGTGTTCATTATATCATTCTTACATTATTTCACCCTTTCAACCCCTATTTATAACCCTGCCAAGTACAGTTGCGTAAGTAACACTTAATACAGAAACTTCTACCTTCTTTAATTACACTCCTTTTAAAAATATTAACCTCAAGGATGCTTCAGAAATATACAAACAAAAAGCAGAGTAAAAGTGAATAGGAACCAAATCATTGAGTAGCACGTTAGCTTTTATATTGATATAAGATTAATTAAAGCTCCCGACGCTATTGATGTTGAATAGAAACCTGTTCTATATTTACCACCCGAAAGAACCTGACCTTTACTTTTGCCCTTATAAGAAATGGCCACTATTAATTTGGTTCGGATTTCGGAGAAAAATGTATTCAATGGTGGATTTCCATGTCCATCCAGTAATTAACACAAGACAGGTGAAATTAAACATTAGCAACAACCAACTTGTGAGGGATCATTATGACATAAGGCCTTAGTCCTTTCCTGATCTATAAAAAAGTAATTGTTGATTTACTATTTGTATCTCAGTGAGAGGCAACATCAGTTTCTTAATTCTGACTCAACTCGAAGGTGCCACGCTATCTTAAAAAAATCAACTTCATTTTTTCATAGTTTTGATACAAAATTTATGAAACATTAATATTTGTAAACAGCTTAAGATTTCTGATGTAAAATTGTAAATTAGTTCAAAAATGTGTCAATAACTCTCGCCATCTGTTTTCCTAACAGACTGAACCCCTTTAGCATCCATTATAAGATTTGGGAATTCATTTGTTATAATAGAAAGAAATATAAATGTAATTTGTTACGCAATGTGCACTTTAATATCACATTTCACAGGGCCTAGTGTGAGTTTATTTCACATCTACATCGTACATCACATCACATTTGCTCGATCATCACGGTGACCGCGTTCGTGCGATTGGCCCTCACTGAGGGCCAAATGAAAGTTTATTTCACATCAACACACGCTCGCGAGCGCGTTCGGCGTTGTGATTAGATAAGATTTCAGTGGCGGCATATCGCAGCGCCAAACGTGGTTACCGTAACGATCGAATACATGTGGAATAAATTCGTTTTTAAGAGTTCCATTGTCTGTCTCCAAAACTCGTCATCAGATCTATATGAAATTTAAATGGGACCATTTAAACCTCTTTCGAACAAAAAAGAATTTTGAAAATCCGTCTATATATGAAGGAGTTATGCCCAGACATACATGAAAAAAATATATAAACATCCGAATTGATTAGCTTCCCCTTTTTGAAGTCGGTTAAAAATATGAATTGATAAAAAATTTGAAAACCATTATCATACCAAGCATTATCTATATGTTTATTTAATATGTCGTCATAATCCGATAACATTAAATGATGTCACGCAGAAAATAAATTTACTGCGACTTAATTCTGTTAAACGTCAAAAGATATTTCTAAACATATTATTTACACGTCGCATCATACACGGGATACAGGACAATTATCTATCAAATCATTGTAAAACATAAACGAAAATTATTCAAAACTAAGCATTCTAATATACCACGCAGTGTTTCATTCATCACATACATGCATTAAATAAATTGACAGAGTTGACGTACTTTCATCAACATACCAACATAAAAAACAGCATAAAAAGTTGTAGTGCCAAGAACTCGACAATCTAATGATCGATAACCTTCAGATTGAATTGTGAATCATTGATTGGTTACTGACCTGCTTCCATTCCACTTTGTCTACAACTTCAGCACCAGTGCCCGAACCGTCTGTCACTGGAGGACGCAAAAGGGACACGTACTGAAACAAACAGTTGAAATTTAATATTTTTTATTGTTTACTAACTCATTGAACTGAAAAATTATAAGTATAACAATAACTTCACGTAATTTGTCACACGATTCATTAATAAACTTGATACAAAAGTATTCAAACAATATTCACAGAATAGATTGATATCGAATCTTTTGAGTAATTCTGAGGGCACTGATAGTAGAATGTGATTCGGCTTGTCCGTGTGATAACGGATTAAGAATATGGGGTTTCACTACCGCTATTGATCCAATGGGTCGTAAGAGCCGACTAAGGGAGCAAACTACGCTGGAAAACAGCACTGAAAACAGAAGGAAGTCTTGACGCAAAACTCTATACCAATCCTTCTGGCTAGCGTGGTATAGTACCAAAACCTTATTTCTAAAAAGAGGCCTATGTTCAGTAGTGGACTTTTAAAGGCTGTTGATGATGATGACTATGATTAAAATGTCCGAGCTTTCAAATGTCGAGTGCCAATTTTTCAAAAGTCGCTTACTAAACTTTGCAAGTTTAAATGCGATTTATTACCGATATAATCCAGACTAACAAACATTTGTCATACTTAAAGCGCCCACCAAGAATACCAGTTATATTATTTTATGTTATTTTGAATCATACATACCTTATCCCGTTCCAAGCTTCGTATCATATCGAGATCTGTAGTGTCAGATATACCTCCGTGTACCACAAACACCCTGTTGTTGATAATAGTTCCGAGGGGAAGCCAACGGTACACGCATTCAATAAGCTTCAGTATCCGCTCCGCGTTGTGCTGCATTACAAGTTACAACTTAATTACGAAATCAAGAATATGTTACAATTTGCTGATATGAAAATATTACTACAGTTTACAGCTTTAACAGTTTTATTACAAGGCTCAGTTTACTGCAAAGTGTTAAAACAATTAAATTTGAAGGAATTTTAAAACTTTTGGTGTAATCTATATTTTTATGACCTTGGATGTTACGAAGCTAAATGTTTGCGGAACGGTATTAAATATAAAGTTGGCTCAACACACATTAACTAACCCACCTACGTAATATGCGTAGGATACCCTACATATGCCGCAAAGCGGTAATATAGTCATTATCGTGTAACATCATCTTACCTACGAGTATATATCACAGAATATCGAGGTCAGGTGGAGTTCTATAATACTGTAGACATAGCAAATAGGGAATCAAATTAAGCACACCAATTTATTACAAGCTGTTTACATGTTGGCGAATAATAGTTGAAACAAGCTTATCTATGTGTTTTCGTCAAAAAACTATGAAAAAACTAATATAAATTTTTCTTTTGTCGATGATTCTCAACATCACTACTTTATAAGGAGAAGATGTTATAGTGTTTATGAATATCTAATTAAACTTCCAAGTCTGCGAAGATATAAAGGACATCAATGAACGTTGGCGCTAATTTACCACCAGTTATTAATATTTTGATTATTCTCGGCTAGAAAAACTTACATTGATACAAAAGAAGGGACTATGTTTTTTGTTTTGGAGATATGTTGCGTTGCCGGAGTATTCAAGTTGATTAGTTTCTGTTAATATCGAATCCGAAAGTGATAATGAGAAAAATACTATCTCAAAATTCACAGACGAAATACAGATCAGACCCCGAAATCATTAATTGGAGGCAATGATATGGTACAGGTACACATACGTATATATATGATAGGTACATACATATATATATGATTGGTACATATACCTTCATCTAAACCGTCGTCGTGATAAATTAAGGCTTTTCAAAGCTACGAGAAACAATTATTTTCCAAAAATGCAGATCTAATGGGATCTGCATCTTTGAAACTCGAATTCAGTAATATCGGACTGCATGACCGTTACAAAGTTATCTGTTCCTTGATAAAATTTTAAACGGACGTACGAGTAAAGATAATGACATAAAAGTGTTTTGTCAAACAGTCGTTACAATGTTCCAAAGCAAAAGTGTCATTCACGTAGATTTATTGTACGTGTTTAACGTAAAATAGAAGTAAAAAATCTTATTTATAGTTAAGTTAATGAATATTTTTGTGAAAACATAATTACTTGCAAAACAACAAATATCTTATTATTGCTAAAGGATATATAAGGATATACTTATAATACATTTCTGTTTTTCACCATTCCTGGCCATTATTCTTTCTTCTCATTGTTTTGACAGCACTGCAATATAGTGTGTCAATGCAGACAGATATTATTGGACTCGTCGTTAGGGCAGACATTATTGCTTTCATGTCCACAGTAAAATATTTATGATTGCAACTGTACATATTATATTTTTTATATATGTAGTTACTATCTCAATAACTCACATGTCAAAAACATCCTTTTTTGTTTTGCATTTTTTAGTTTAGTTAGTTGCATTTGCTAGTTTTTGTATGATGCATATGCCTTTTGCATAACATTTTGCACAAAAACCATATTGACATTTAAGTATTCTAACTCCATGAGAAGACTCATTTCTATGCTTCTTTTCAAATAGCGTTTTTAGGGTGAATGATAGCAGTATCTATATTTCAGATTCTGTACATTTTTAGAACTAGACATTTTACATTTATAACAATCGTATTTCATTCCCCTGAAACTAGAATTAAAAGCTCCTAAATCTGTCAACCTTATCTCGGGCAGGGATTCAGGCACTCTCGAAAATATTTTTGATGATACCCTTTTCATAGCTGAAATTTTATCAAGATACTGATTGTTATTCACGATATATAACATTAGTTCTCACTTTATCTCACACTTTATCTGATACACGATTACCGATTTATATTAAACAAATGTATATAATAAAATAAGCCTTGTATTTTCCTCATTCTGAAAAGGATAACAGATTATTGCCTGTTTTTACTCACCCGATATTTCTGATGGACTTCTTTTATGAAACCGTACCTGGACAGAAAAAGAATATTAGAGTTTAATAAACACAGATTTGCTGCTTTTACTAAGGAAGAGACTAAATTAAGCATAATAACCGCAACTCATTCTTTACAACACTTTTGTACATCGTCATCGAAACGGAATAAATTTCCATTGAATATTAGTAATCACGGTTTTCTATTTGGCAGAATATCAGAAAATTGCTTTTAGTAAGTAAGTGAATGGGTACGCTTCGCAATTGTAATGGAAATATGTGTTTAAATCATCTTTCTGGTGATTATAGATTCTAGTTTAAGATCTATCACAATAGGTATTAAGAAATACAACGTACTACAGAAAATGATACTGTTGAGTACAGTGAAAATTGTTCTTAAACTATTTCTATTACTATTTTTTTTAATTTCTTGATCGTATTAAAGTAAGGGTCGATTTTGTAGATAACTTTTTGTGGCTATCCCCACGGGTCGTCACATCACAAGAGCTACTTACTTAGTTAGCAGCATTGAACTGACTAAAATCACAAGGAGCAAATCGGAGACTCACGTACATACTTATTAGTAAGATGGGTCTTATATATTATTTTATATTGGGATGTTTTAGATTTTTAGATTAAATGTGACACAAAAAAAAGATGTACATGGGTTATGTACATCTTTTTTTGTGTCATTTCATTATCTGTCTCTATATAATTTTTATCCATCAAAGTAACATATTTTCAACCGACTTCAAAAAGGAGGAGGTTATCACTTCGTACTTTATTTATGTTTATTTTTTTATGTATGTTCGGGCATAACTCCGTTAGATATGGACAGATTTGGATTTTTTTTTGTTCAAACGGGATTTATCCGAAATAGTCCCATTTAAATTTCATATAGATCTGATGATGAGTTTCGCAGACAGACAACGGAACTCTTAAAAAAATGACAGTAAATCAACCGAAATTGCTGCTAGGTTTTTAGTGCTCTTTGTTAGTATTGTTGTAAGTCGGTTCAACTTTTTTTTAAAGGATTTACATCATCCTTGTATTGCCTTTACTTGTGCCTATTTTAATAACATTTATTATTTATCCACTTAATGGTGTGGATCCATTGAGAGGGTAAATAGGTACTTCCATAATAGAAAATAGTTTGTTCTCCACAAACTATTGATGAGAAGCGAATTGGGCAAGATTTATTCATTAATTTGAGCAAAAACTGTATCACGTGGCGTTACTTCGTATATTTCGTGATGCCTCGGTTACTTAATTGATGACACAATTTTTTTTTTTTAATTTATTTAATACCATTACCAACTTTCAATTGAAGGTTAACACCCTATGTAAATACAAGGTGTCTCAAAAGAAAGTTTATATTTAGTAGATCGATTAAAAAAAAAGTAAGCAGTGTATCGAAAAAATGTTTATTAATTATTAAAGTACACAATTTGGGAATTTATTTCTTAAAAATAATATCGTCTAAATGTAGACCCTCGCGTTCGCGGCACTCATTTAATCGAACAGTAAAATTACTTATGACGGCTCGGCAAGTGGACTCAGTGATGGCTGCCATTTCGTGACGGATATTTTCTTTCAAATGTGCCAGGGAAGTCGGTTTATTCGCGTAGACTTTAGATTTAAGATAACCCCATAGGAAAAAGTCCATAGGGGTTAAATCAGGACTGCGTGGAGGCCAATTTATGTCACCTCTCCTAGAGATCAATTTTCCTGAGAAAATTTCACGAACTCGTGGCAGAGACGTATTGGACGTGTGTGACGTTGCTCCGTCCTGCTGGAACCATGTTCTTTGGTTATAGCCAGGAAAGTTTAGCAGTTCAGGCGCCAAGAAGTCGTCTAACATCTCCACATAACGCTCTGAATTCACTGTAACTGCACGCCTCCTTTCGTCTTCAAAAAAGTAAGGGCCGATAATTCCTCGCGCCGACATTGCAGCTCATACGGTCACTTTAGGCGAATGAAGGGGTTTCTGATGTTTGCGTTTCGGATTCATTGCACTCCAGTAGCGGCAATTATGCTTATTTACATGTCCATTAACATGAAAATGGGCTTCATCCGAAAACAAGATGTTGGTAAACGTTGAAAAGCGCTCAATCGCCTGATTTACGAAGTCAAGCCTCTGACTGGCATCTTGGGGCTTTAATTCTTGCACCAATTGAATTTTGTAGGGGTGCTGCTTTGGGTCTTTGTGCAAAATGCAGTGTAATGATGATCTATGCACATTTAAAGCACTTGCGCGCTTCCGAATTGAAAGGTTCGGGTCGTCACGAACAGACTGATTAACGCTCTCCACGTTTTCTACCGTTCTTGATGACCTTGGTCGCCCGGATTTTGGTTTTTCCAGCCTCTTCAAACTTTTTGACCCATTTTCGAATAAGAGGAATGCTTGGCGCATCATTTAAATGGCGAAAACCTCGAACACTACAGAACCTTCTACGCGCTATAGTCGCCGAATCACCGTTTTTGTAAAACTCTCGCACGCACAACGCACGGTCTACTCTCGAGAAACGCTCCATAGCGACTGAATTCCCAAGAGCCAGGCTATCGATTGAGATAACCCCCGCGCCCCTCGGACTCGTTGCGTTCACGCAGTAAGCTAAATATATATAAACTTTCTTTTGAGACACCTTGTATTTTGAAAATTGGGTCGCTACAAACAATTTAAAACTCAATGTAAACAAAACAACGTCTGTCATTCAATACAAAAATACATAATGAAGCCAGTCTTCAATTTAAATTTAAAGCAAAAGGTTTAAATTTCATTGATCTCTTATTGTACTGGAAAGTATTTGCTTATTATCATCTGAGATAAAACCCATGAGTTTTACATGCTCAGCCACGATAGAACCCTGACAGACCAACTCAACCTAGCTAAGTTCGGGTGGTATACTTACCATTGTTAAATTCAAAGCCTTTAACAGTGGAATGCCTTTAAAAAAAAGTTAAATAAATGATTTTGTAAAAGTTAAATACTTTATTCCAAATCTTACAAGAGATACCATCAGTCGCGGCTAGCTTTAGACTGTAATTTCCTATATTTAAATATAGTAAATATTTTTTACTGACAAAACAGCAGTTTTCATTTTTTTCACATTCTATATTTAAAAAAATTGCTCAGTGAAAAATAAAATAAAATATTAAGTAGGTATTTTCGCACAGTTCTTGCTTGTAATGAAACTTCAAGCCAATCTTCAAAGAAAGTGATCATGTGTGACTAACCTAGCATTCATAATAAGATCTTCATGGTTGCCGCGATTCAAGAACACTCCTCCGGGGAAAGCCAACATGCAAGACAGCAACAACAGGAACACTTCCAAACCTTTCTTGCCACGGTCGACGAAATCCCCGTTGAATATGTATGGATTCTCTGGAGATGGCAACCCGTTCTGCATAAAACGCAAAATTAAATACATATTTCATAAATTTTTATTCTCAATGCTTTGTGATATTTGCTCAAGTGGTTCAAGCGGATTCACTTTGAAAGTGGGTATGGGTAGTTGCTCGAACCTACAACCGAAACACAATTCCAACGCCTTAGCCATTACACTATTTACATTATTATTTCTAACAATGTGGCATGTTCGTCTATACCATCGTAATATTGCGATTGACATTAAAATCATTTTACCTAATTATAAAACATGACTTTACCAACGTCTAAGTTATTATTAATTTCAAAGTAATGAAACATAAACATTCTTTGTACGGTAAAGTCATGTTTTGTAATAAAGTCTATAAGGTCTCTGTATTGTTGAACCATCGGAATGCATTTTATTTAGAAGCAGGATCGTACAGAACATAGCTTAAATTAGTACAAAGGCTATATTGCCGACATAGAGACTGAGCTGATGCAGGTACACATTGTCCATCTATAGGATCCACAATGCCGCGTTAAGGTACTCTTGTGTAGTGTCGATGTACCAGCTAGTTTTAGCTATGTTAAAGCGGTATAGCAATTATGTTAGATGGAAATAAATAGTCCTATCTGTGTGCATCTGATGTAGTACTAGTAATAAAAATAGTCTACGAAGCATCTATTCAGTGATGCGTAACTCTCTGATGCACAATTTTTATCTCTACTGATATTTTGTCTTCGACCGCCACTTTTTAAATTATTTTATACCGTTGGGATGTTTGCGCGGAAGTTTTTGAATGATGAACTAGCTAGCTATTTATCTAGTATTACGTCCATAGTACTAAGTATTAAGGCAGTGTTTCAAATGGACTTTCGTAGTTCATGTGAAGAATATTCCTCCTAGTATTAAACATCGTGTTGTATTTTTATTACTGTTTTGAATACGTCTCACGGCAAATATTGTCGCCTCGTCTATATTGTTAATAAAGCTTATATCGCGCGTCTGGGGACGGGTAGGTATAGGATTGTTTAGCTCGTGCTCGTTAGTGGGAGGAACAATAAAAACACACAGAGACTCTTTATTTATTTTTTGTGTAAGAGTAAAGCAGCACTCTTCCCTCAGTTATATATTGCCTTTGTTATATCAAAGGCCACACCACAATGTCTCTAACCCTCGTGGGAGAGAAACGAATCTGTTAATTTGTAAAAGTTTAACACAAGCGACCCAACGATCGTAAACATACATTTATAACCGAGAACGCTTTTGTTCAAAAAAATTGACCTAACATTTATGTGGGGTATCATAAATATTTTAAAGATATACTTTAAAATATTTATGATACCCCACATAAATGTTAGGTCAATTTTTTTATGTAGTAGTTTATGTTTTAAAAATAATATTCAAGAATTGTCGTAATTTAATTTACGAAACCGATTTCCAATATATTTTATTTATACTTTCAATTCATGAACCTCGCACCCGTGTATTCCCATACGCCTACAAAGGTAAAAATTTCAAAGGCTTTATTCGTGGCAGCATCAAGTCTGTCCATAATTAATGTCCTTAATTAATTAATGTCTGCGAGTATTAGCGACGTCTCTTCCAAATATAGCCAAGTGTGAGGTGTCTCCCTACAGCACACACTAGACAAGATTTGTCTTCCTTCATCCACCACACTAATAAATTAAAAATCAGGTTAATAATTTTTTTTTTTTCCTTCAGATGCGGAGGAATGAACAAACTGTTATGAAGAGTGATTGTGACACAGAAAAGATGACTAAATTAGATATAGACAACGTCAAAAAGAATGTTAGGACGCTAAAAAAGGACTGAGCAATAGAATAATACATGATAGAGTAGAATGAACGTAGGATGTACATATATTGTGCCCTTTCCAAATAAACTTGAGAAAATAGTAGAGAGATGTCTTTTATGATAGCGAGTGCAAACGAGCAGACGGGTCACCTGATGGAAAGTGCGTACCCATAAATATCTGCAACTTAGAGATGACGGTGATAATGATGGGGTATCGCCATCATAGTCATAGATAGATAACTCTTTATTGTACAATAAAAACAGTATAGTAGTAAAAATACAGTTTGTATACATTGGTGTGAGTCTATAAAGGTATATTATAAAACAGAGAGAGCAAAATATTAAAAGTAGCACAATTGGCGGCCTAATCATAGTCATCTCTCTTACCTTAGTAGTTTTACAAATGCTAACAATAAGAAATGGTTAACCAAGAAGCTAGTTATAATCTTCACCTCTGGTGATACAAAGCTACAGAGATGTGCCACACATAAATATATATATTAACAACAAAGTCCGTGATAATATACCTACCCTGTATTAAAACTTAGTTTTTTTTTTTTATACAGATTAAAAATCACTACACGGGTATTGTTGTAACCACTTAGAGGTTTCCTTCTAAGTAATCGTAATGCTATGCAAAATACATATACTTCGCCATTATACTTTAATATTAATATATAATTAACGCATTAATTTCGCAGCATCAGCTTTCCGGCCCAACATGATAGATATGTATATGTTATTTATAATCGCAAAGTACCAGTAATCTGGTATATTTTGTGAATCCTTACATTTGCAGCGTTGCTCCAGTACGATCCACTCGAAGGTCACTTGCGTCATGTGTGCGTTACAAATCGATACCTACGTAGTTACATAATCATTATCCTTTCGTCGATAACACTTGTTTTATTTCCTGACGGGCATGCGACATACGAGTCATTTTATCACCACTAATTGGTGATTATCTAGACATGTATGAAGCGCTACCTTTGACCTTTGACATTTAAGGTCAGAGAAATCATAACTCACCTTGTCGTGTGATTTTATATTACGATTAACTGGGATCATGAAAAATAACATTTGTTTTGTTATGCGACCCTCCCGTTTTTCAAACTGCTTGTTTGTATAAACTCAATTTAAGTATCCCTTACATTCCCAGTAGGGCCATTAGGCTGTAAAACATATCGTTGTGTGTTTCTAATCAATGAATATAATATCAGATGTACACAATGGTAGATAAACACAATGTGGTGTGGTGAGTTAGATAATAAAGTGTCTTGGCTGTTACTGAAAATGAATGGACGGCAGCCTATAGCCTAGATGATAATAGGGGTTAAAGTATGAAATTGATGTTGTATAGTAATAGATACTTTGAATTAACATTAAACCTTCATGGTGTGAGATTTTTGTGTGAAACACTTTTCACATGATATCTATGAGGTTCTTCTTTAAAAAATTTGATTGTTTTTTTTTTATTCAGGTTAGGCGTGAAAGATTGATACTTCGAAAATCTGAGTCATTGTATACAAGTTCCGGGACAACGCGACAGAAACGGCTTGCAATATCAACACTGCGTTTGGAGAGGAGACTGCTAATAAACTTCGACTTGAAGAACGAACCACGTAGAAGACCGTACACACAGGTGAACAACCTTACCTATAATATTGACTAATTTGCATCAAATCAATAAGATAAAAAAATATGAAAAATGGGTGCCTCATAACTTGACTGATCTGCAGATAGTAATGCGTGTTGAAACGCCGTTGACTCGCCAGGTCATTAGAACAGACGTGTGTTCAATAGAGAGCCATGGATCGCACGACGCTTATGTATAGGCAGCGAACTTCTTCCTGTAGTCCGAGATTGGGCAGCAGGCGGTGCAGCGCACCTGCTATCCCTTGCACTTGAGGCACTCGCCCAAAATGCTCTTTAAAGCTCCATCGACGATCCATCATGAAGCCTGGGTACTTCATATACTGGCCCACCTGAATTTCAGCGTCACCTACCTGGAGGCTTGAGCTGGGCGGTTCCTAGCGCTTATGTAGACTATGGAACCATATCGAATCATATTTCTGAGGCGTAACCATCAGCCCCAGTTCACGAATCTTTTCCACAACACAAGCCACCCCCTATTCGGTTATCCGAAGCACCTCCTCGAAACGTGACTCTCTAGCCAGTTTTAGTGTGTCGTCCGTATAGCAGAAGACACTTAGGCAAGAGGACAGACACACGGACAGATATTATATTTTATTATATATTATATTATTATTATGGTGAAATCTATCAGAAATATTGGCAACTACAACCCCTTAAAGTATATAGGTCGACTTATACAGTAACCCTGTATATAATATTTTACAGTATACCTATTAAATTCCAATCATTTATCTGCATTTCTTAACTTTGGCCCCCTTTAGTAAATGCTGGGTACGTTCATGGCCCTGTGGTATTACAATTCCTATCTACTTACGATCAGGACTATGGATTGATTAGATTACACTCATATCAAAACATGTTTGCAGCGGAATAGAGTTTTGATTATCGCGAAAGCTTTATTTTGAACAACTACTTAAAACCAGTAACTAATAATCTTACAAATACCCATTCTTGTAATTTTGTAATTATTGACATTACGCTAACATGAACAACTAACAACATTCACAGACTTGGATTACTTTATTCCGAACTTTATTGAAGCATGAAAATAAGAAAAGTTTCCTATATCATTGTTAAGCAATAATGAAACAATAATGTTTTAAGCAGCTTCGTTAGGCAATAACTGAATAACATTCGAAATTAACCCATTTTTTTAAATGTTAATGATTGTTCCTTTGCTTTACTCGTATATTTTATAAGAATTTTACAATAAATGCACCACTGATAACTTCTAATACTACTTGCCGACAATCGGCAAGACCGTATATCGAACTGAGATGGGCTAAAATTAAACCACACGTCACATCGTGGTGTGGGACACCACACTACGTGAAGGTATGTTCTTAATAGTCCACCCAGCGCTAGACTATGGGTGGCAATCTGCTCGACCAACCTGCAGGAACTGTTCATATATACACATATATAGATCACGGCTTGCGTAGTATCGTTATTACTTTTGCTATTGTATGCAGAGTTCAATGTTGTTGGAGGAGCACAAAACGGTGGAGACGCAAGTAATACCGCGAGATAAAATAGATTTTCTTGAAAAAATAGTTAAT